CCCACTTCCGAGAAAGCCCCGCCCACTTTTCAAAAATGGTGCAAATCGGCAGTATAGTCTTGGCTTGCATGCTAGGGTCTCGTCCGTCACTCGGAACAAATAAATCAGGCAAAGTTTGTGGGCGTGGTCAGGGGGCGGAGCCTAAATCGCCAAACCCTTTAGCGTACTCTAGCGTTACGCTAGCGTATGCTGGTGACGCTATATCAATATCCATCCTTCCCTGCCGCTGCCGAACGCTGGAAACGCTAGCGTACGCTACCGCAAAGTATAAACGCAGCCTAACATCAACTGATGGCTCTACCACTGAAGATTGCGACATCTAGAGGTAGAAGAATTTCTTGCCCTTCTCTGCCCCAAATCAAATTTTAGGTTCTCCGCTTCGAGTCCGATAAGCGCTTCGCACAGTTTCTGGAGTCGCTTCACAACTACCGTTAAGAAACTTGATGGACAAATCCTATCAGTTCCCTTGCAAAATGAAGAGCTACTGGAAAAGGCGGAGACAAAGGTACCGCCGCTAGAATTCGAAGCCCAAATCTGATCATCCCAAATTACATGGATTTTGATTCGTTGTAGGACCGTCACCAGGAGCGTCTAGATCGCTTCTTTCGTGAAGCATACGCTCGAGATACGCTCGAGCATTCAATCAGCAAAAGCTGAACGACTGATTCATGGGCGAAGATTCACGCCGTCCTACGACAAGCAATTAGCAGGTAGATTCTGTTGTTAGCCCGTCGCTATAATCTAACATTCAGAAACGAATTCGCGCAGGCGATGGGCATGAAGGAAACTGATATGTTTGTGCAAAGAATGTTTGCAGTTACGGCACAATCCAATAGTGACGTCATCACGTTCGCGCAATTTCTCGAAGTTCTTAAAAAATTCAGTGGAGGTAAGGAGGTGTCTGCTCATTGGGCCTGACGATTAACACGGATAGACTTTGACTGACCCACAAAAATCGTGTCCAAAGACGCGTTTCACGCTTGCTGATGAGATCGATCTTCTCTGTGGGTGGGTTGGCCGCAGCTTTATAGACCATGAACCCTGCAAACGATGGGGCGTCTGGTGGAGGTTTGGCTTGGAGCGCAGCCAAATCAGACTTTCCTCCAGCTGTAGCGAGCTCCGGATGGCATCATTGGTGGAAAAGGTGCGCCCTGTCCGCGCTGCAATGCGCGCCGCGTCGCACGCCCTATCGCTTGCAGGGACCATCACTACAGGAAGGTGCCATTTTCGCCAGCTGGAAGTGCGTTCAGTTGAATCTATATGGTCAGAATAGCTGGATTTCCTTTTGTGTATTCGCCTACATGCAATCTACGTCAAAGGTATGAAACACGCCATGCAACGCTGCTGCATGTCAAGAGGCCGCCTCGAGAATTTTGTCAGGCGATTAAGTATTAGAATAAATAGCTGTGGGTAGAGCAGTAACGAGTATAGGCAAGGTTTGTACGCGCTTCGGATCGTTTCGGAAGTTCCTTCCGTTTGTCGACCGTTAAGAGTATCTTCTTTCCAAACAGGGTAGAGCATCGTTGTGCGAAACACATGGGGGAGGAGGTCGTACTTGGCTGCTGGGGAGGGAGGGGGGTCGTACTTGATCGCTGAGGAGGGGATCGTATTTGTTGGTCGCTATTGGGGAAGGGGAGCCGTATGGGCCTTTGAGAGAAATGTGCCGCGTTGGGAAAAAGGCATTCGCTATGTACCCCTCCCCCACAGGCGCCAAATTCTGTGTAACTACTATTTCCGATATAGTTATTGTTTCTGACGACCTCTCCCCCTCCCGCTCGACGGAAAATTTTCGGGGAGAGAGAAGCAACTTTTCGGGAAACTTCGGAAAAGAACTGGTAGGAAAATGGAAGGTAGGTGTGGGGGAAGCGGCTGTACCGAGACTTTCTTTCAGAAGGGAGGGGGTCGTACTGACACACCACCACTTTACACATAACGGATGCTGTACCCTGCTGTTTCCAAGCAATTGGCTGCTCGGCTTTTCAGCCCCCTTCAGGAGCTCGTAGCTGAGACGTAGTGACCCGTAGATTTGTCTCACTGCATAAGTCCTACCTCTCACCCCATCACGCCTTTCCACATGGTGTCGTTAGCATGAGGCAAAACGCAGGGCGTAGCAGTCAATGAAATAGGCGAAACGTCCGCGCAAGGATAGGCAGGCATATCTCTTGATTTCAGCGGACGAAGATCCAGGCTTTTCTTTTTCCGCCATGGCTAACCGACGACAATTAGTAAACGGGTCTGCTCGAGACCGCTTATTAACCTTGCTACCTGCCTTGCCCCAGTCACCTCCCGGTTGGTGACCATTTCTTTAAGTTTCACCTCTAACACGTAAATATGCCACTAGTTCATTTACTAGCATCTCACAACTGTTGACGCACAGAGCGTTTTGTGCACAAACGTTTGTTTCTGCTAGCACACACGTTGTATCTGCTTGCTGACAGCTCATAGGAGCATCACTGAACAAATCTTCACTGAATTCTTTCAGGAACTATGCAGGAGAAGTATAAACTTCTTTTCTCAATGTGTGATGTGGATGGCAGCGGTCGAGTTCATCGCAGGGAATTCGCTGATCTTATTCGCTCGCTCAACACCGTTGTCGGCGTCAGCATCACAGAAAGCACTCAGAATCGTGTCATTGAGAGCATACTGGACCAATCAGGTGTTTTTAATATTCTTTGAAACGGCCCTAATTTTGGTATACCATCTGATCTGTCTTCTGCTCTAGTAATAATAGCTAACGCATGGTCTAAAGAAAAAAAACTTCAAAACTTTGCTGACAATACATAGCAGACGAAGCATCATATACGCCTGCTGCATCACAAGAGCAGTACTACAACGCATATTTGACAGCTATCAAAACGATGCCTTGAAAGCCACTTAGTCCCCTAACACAGCGCCATAGGGTGGTAAAAACTATTGGTGCGGCAGTACATCGAGAGCATATCCCATCGAGAGTCCAGTATGGACTGATACAACCGATCGTGGACGCCCATCCTATACCCCCCCTATGAGCATAACAAATACCAAATTTCGACCGTCAATTCAGGCTTTTTTTCAGGAATCGAGCATCATTCGGATTACTTAACAACCGCAGATTTTGAAGCGATCTTTACTAAAGCCGTGAAGGGCCGTCCCGTTGGCGTTGAGTTGCGTGGAGCGAAACTCAAGATGAATCTAGAGGAGTGATTGTTTTCAATTTTCATCCAATTCCTACCTTATTGTCAGCTCTAATAATCTGCTTTCCGCAAGGCGTTTAACTGCCTCATTAGGACATACCATGGATGTGAGGCATGATTTTGTTAAGCGTCTCACGACACAGAAGAAGGAGAAAAAGCGAAAACTGAGAAAGACAACAACCATGAGAACTTTTTTCGCACAGAACCAATCACAGGACGACGAGTTGTACTTCGTTCTTAGATGGTGAAAAAAGCTCCGCGCCAAAGAGGAAGCCAGTTTGGCGCAAGTCATTTCCTCGAAACGAAACGGAGAGGAAGAGGATCTCATATATCGAACCCCGAGAAGCAAAATAAAGAAAATCGTGGAAAATAAAATGTCGGTGGCTACAATAACACTGCAAGAGATAGACTTCGCGGTCCAGCACAGTTGATTAAATCTACGAACCTGTAGTCGCTATGTGGCTTTCCAGGGCGCCAAGGCAAGGTGTAAAACACCTTGGTAACGGACTCTAGTGACTGCAGCCCTCTCTAACCTGCTTCTTTTGTGGGCCAGGCGAAAGTGATAACAGCATCGCTCGCGGCTAATCTTTTCTCGCGTCATCCAGTGCTAGTGCCAACCATCAGGGAAGAATATTGGAAAACACGGTGTGAAAATTGAATATGGAAGACAGCACTTGAACCTTGATAGGACCGTATACAACTAGGAGGCCGTCAGATTCGCCACATATGAGGGCTACAGCGCCATTAGTTACTGTAAAGCTGCAGATAAGGAATAGTCTTAGAGACTAGACTACTTGTACAAGGGAGGACACCTACGAGTTTCTCGAGAGCGGTGGCTGTCTTTAAACCCGTATGAAGGTCTTCTATTTTGATGAATATTTGTTAATTTGACTGCACAGAGACCAATCTAACGAGCTTGATTTCTTTGTGTGTCATTGCCTTTTCCGAATTATTCCTTTTTCATACAGAACGGCTTCATTGAACTCCTTTGCTGTGCCCACGACTTCTGACGACCATTCCGCACATCGCAGTATTTTCGGCACAATCGCAGCTTTCACCGGCACTTACCGTCAGCACATCTTCATCCTGTTTATTTTCTGCTGTGTTAATCTGATGATTTTCTGGGATCGATTCCGATGTGAGTTTATCACAGCTCATTCTGTCGTCCTCATCAGAGTCTTTACCTCGAATGTCGGCCTCATTAGAATCTGAATGTAAAGATATGAAAGGGCACCTAAAACTTTATTGCGGAGGAGTCTGAGGATCCATGAGGGATCCAGAAGTTTTCTTGCAGAACTGCTTCTTTCTTTAGGTATTTCGGTGCTTAGCTCCTTTTCCTCGTGAGGCTACATTCATACTTTGCGGCAGCGCCCACCAGCGTCTACCAGCGTCCACTAGCGTTCCGAGCGTCCGGCAGCGTCAGCGACTAGGAAAGTGTGAATATCGATCTAGCGTGTGCCAGCTCCCAGCGTCCACCAGCGTCTAGCATCGTCCGGCAGTGGAATGTTTGGCGCGATGGGAGGGTGGCAGACAGCTGGTAGGGTACGGGGAGACAGGAGGGTGATAAACTGTTTGTAGAGAATATGGTACGATAGGAGGGTAGCAGACAGCCTGTTACCCTCCTATTGCACCATACTCTCTACCAGAGTCTGCTGCTGGTCGCTGGTAGACGCTGGCAGACGCTAGATCGACACCTATACTTCCCTAGCCCTCGAGACTGGTGGATGCTGGTAGACGCTGGCAGACGCTAGATCGATACCTATACTTTCCTAGTCGCTGACGCTGCCGGACGCTCGGAACGCTACTCTATGCTGGTGGACC